AGGTCCCTTCCGACCCTTAATCTAAGCTATGAAACTATGAAACTATCTTTGACCATTTTAGTCATATTGCACACTACTACAGTAGGCAAATGGCCAGGGAAGTAATCGTAATTTTGGAATCCTTCTCTTTTGTAGTAGATAGTAGAGAGACAAGGCAGGAAAAATACCTTATATTAGGCAGAAACTGGTGCTCTTGGCTGTTCCCTTTCTCAATGGGAAATAGGAGTATTAGAAAAAGATCCCAGCATTCATGTCATGATGTTTCATGCAAGGTCAGTAGTGAATAAAACATCAGCCATTCATGAATTGCTAAGAGATGAGGCCCTGATCCTCTACATACAAGACCTGGATGGATGATACTGTAGGATCAGTTTAAGTGTTGTTGGTTTCAGTCAGGTATGTGGTGCAGTGTGGACCAGAGGACTTGTCAGGGAGGTGATACAATTATATTGTTTACATTCACCTTAATAGAGAGGATGTAGCCAACAAGTGAATTTAATATAATAGCATATCACATGTAAAAGGCACAGACCTTGACTGGAAAGGTTCATAATCTGTGTTCTAAGAAGATGCAGCAAATTTGTGCCTCTTGCACAGTGTCAGTGCATCAGCTGATTCACAGTTACTGCTCCATGTGTCTTCTCTATCCTGTGATACATGGTGGAAATTAAGGCACAGTAAGCTAAGTTTTATTTAGGGCAGTGATTCTCAGTCGGGATGGGTGCTGCAAGATCCTTTTAAGGTTATTAGCCTTTTAGATTATTTTATTTTAAACCTCCTTTTAAATTATTAGCACATTTAGGTGTGTAAACACTGCCAAGTGATTCACAAAATAAACCCAGACATTTCAGATAGGAATCCATAGTGTGAAAAGCATTTTGGCCTATCGTGGTCTTTCTGAGTTCTTTGCAGCAAAAGAATTGCTCTATTATTTTTCCATAGCCAGGAACCGAATGAAAGCTAAGAGCTGGCATTCTCTGAAGGGGGCTTGCATCTAACGAAGTGTGCCTTGAGCTTAGAAAAGTTCAGAGCCAGTGATTTGGGGGCTTACTGTGGGAGAGAGAAAACACACGAAACGATTAAAGTGGATCAGATTATATCAAGTCAGTTTCTTCCCTCTTCCCCTTTAACTCAGTATAATTTCTTCATCTGTCCAGATCCTGAGTGACCTGGCAAAAATGAACCCCTTGTTAATTTTGCCATTTGTCTGTATAATAGGCCAGATCTTCATCTTCTTTCTATCATTTTAACTCCACTGATTTCTATTTCTGAATTTATTGTCTTTATATGTAAGTTAATTAGTAATATGACTTTTTCATTATTTGATATTTATTTTTAGCACACAAAGAAAATAATTTAGCAATTGAGTCATATTTCATATTGGATCAAGGAACTGGAAATGAATTAATCCTTTTTTGTCTTCTTCCTGGTTAGAGATTATTTATGGCAGTTCCTGGAACAATGGCGTTAAGTGACAGCAATATCAGGATCCCTTGCTGGTAAACTTTATGAGTCAGATTCTGTTCTCAATGGCCGTGTCTACGTGAGATGCTGACTACACAGTTGTAACTCGGGTTACTGCGCAGTAGTGTTACTAAACAGCTTTTAGGTGATGCTGACTGCACAGTAACTCGTTACTACTGTGCAGTAGTGTCACATCACGCAGTACTAACGAGCTACTGTGTAGTCAGTCATGTAGATATGACCAGTGATTGCAAATTAAAGTAAAATTCTGCATCCAGTGGGTTACTGATCAGGAATCTGTTCTATATCTTATTGATGTAGGGTAGTAGGATTCTTCAAGCCTGGATGTCTTCTGAAAAAGATGCTCAAGTCAACTGCACTGCTGCCATGGAGCTGGCACTGGGAGATAATGGTCTCCGAGACCAGGCCCCATGACCGTGAAGCTCAGGCTGGGAGATAAGGGTCTCCCAGCACTGGCTCTACAGCCATGGAGCTGGCTCTGGGAGGTCCCTGGTGTCAGTGGCTGGAAAGCCTGCTCAGCTCTGTGAGCACAGAGCTGGGTAGGGAACAGGCTAAGAAGCTTGTTCCCTGCTCTGCTCTGTGAGAGTGGAGCTGGCTGGGGAAGAGGATCCCCAGCCTGTTCCCCACTCAGCTCCATGTTCATGGAGCTGAGTGGGGAACAAGCTCCCCAGCCTCCACCCCACAGTTGCAGAGTGGGGGCTGGGAACTGTCCTGGTCAGGGACAGATCCCATCCCCATGCCCCAGACGGGTGATCGAGGCATGGGGCTTGGAAATAGCTGCAGGGGTTGGGTAGGTCCCGGCCTCCTGCCCTGACCTGCTGGTGGGGCAGCTAGCAGTGAGCTAGCTGCTAGATGCCCTACCAGTGGATTGGGGCAGGGGGCTGGGACTTGCTCCTTCCCTGAAGCTCTTTCCAAATCCCTTGTCCCTGACTGGGGAGCTGAGGCCAGGAGCTCCCTGATGCCAAGGCAGGGGGATGTTTTGCCTGCCCCAGCAGCAGGTAGCCCCCAGGGGCAGGGTGTAATTGCCCAGCTGTCTCCCTGCCAGCCCCTGAGCTAGCACCAAGGGAAGTCTAGAGCTCCCCCTGGTGGCAGCAGGGTCCCATTGCAGAGCCCCAGGAAGTGGGAGCAGTTTACTGCCATTAATAGCAAATCTGCTCCTGCTTCCCTGCATGTGTAAACACCTGCCAGGGAGCATTTACTTGCAAGTAGTTTACTCATGAGTAAATTGATCCTGTATCAAATGCATGTGTTGACACACCCACTGAGTGTATTACAACTAGAATTGTGTAATTCTCTGACCACATAATGATCTAATGGTGGTCTAGGCTTAAACTATATAGCTATGAAAAGATTCAGTATGAAGCTTATGGATCCTATTGTATCTCAAACATACTCTAGATGGTCTAAATGAGCAGCTTAGCCAACCTAGGTGCATTCTTCCAAAAGAGAATGAACAGATTAAGGAAAGAAAAATGCTTCTTTGTTTTTCTTGTTAGGAGGCAACATAGGAACATTTTGTTAACAGCACAATGGGCTAGTTCAGTTGTGCAGCAAAAATGTTTGGGGCAATTTATTGTCTTGATCCTAACACTTTCAATGTGGCCTGTGCCTGTCCTTTTTGTTTTTATTTTAGTCTTTTGTTATTCAAAGCTATATTGCAATAAATGAGATATTGGGTAAAATTTTCAAATACTTCTAAGTGATTCAGAAGCCAATATCTCACTTGAAATATTACTTATTGACAAAAACTTGGTCTTATGTATTCTAACTGCAAGGTCAGAGTCACCATTCTGTCAACTGATTCTTCAACTACATTTAACATATAAGATCCTGTAATCTTTTATGTAATGAAAAGTAAAGGAATAAGGTGAAAAGTGAGCTTATTCTTCATTATCTGGATTTACTTTTAATTCATATATTTATAGATGCCGCAAGATTGCACAAAGTGTAAAACAGTAAAAATCTGGCAAAGTCATGTACAATGCTCATGGAGCAGAATGAAAGCTTTTATTATCTATTTTGCACACTTCACAGAGGTATAAATTTCACACCAATTTTAGGTAGCTGCTAAGGACTTTGGTGCACAACACTTTTACACCAGTGTAATCATATTTTACTCTGGTGTGAATAAAGGAGATACATGCATGACCTACAGCCCTACATCAATGTAACATACTTGAATCTAATGTAAACTTATCCCAGGAAAAGTCAGGGCAAAACTACACTGGTGTAAGTTACACCACTGTGTTGTGTGTCTGCAGCTTTTTTGGGGTATGCATTTTCTGTAGACAACAGGCTGTTACCTGCTCCCGTGTCACCTAGTGATGACGTACTAGAATAGTGCTTGTTGCAAGTAGCTACCCCTGGATAGCTGCTTATCTATCTGTTCCCCATCCCAGTGTAATTTACATCAAGATATAGTGTTTCTGTCAATTACACTGGAGTATGTGTGTGGAGGCCCTAAGCACATAGCTGCCTGGAATATGGACTCTTATTTATTTTGATTATACAGTGTTTAACACAATGAGGCCCTGTTTGATTGTGTGCTACTACTGTATAGTTAAAGTAATACTAAATAGAAGATAAAATTGACTGCATGAGGTGCAAGGCAATGGAGTTAAGTCCAGATCTTCCAGATGAAACTGCACAAGTACAAGAGTGGGAAAAGAGAAGTGGCAAAAGTTGTTTTTTATTATTTAAAAAGAAGCAGTAACTGTTTTAAACTTTTGCATAATATTCAGATTTTATACCTGCCTTCTTGTTCCTTTCCAGCAGGTGCTGCTACTTCCAACAAAAGCTTTCTTTGTTAAAAGCCAGTCACAATGACTTCATCCTGTAGAAGCTGGATGTCCGTTTTGGTTTTACTCTAAAGCAGTCAGTTGTTGTTTATTCTCTGTTCCCCAAGTGATTTATAAGACTGGGGACCAGCAGGAAGAAAACAAAGGAAAATTTTTTTAATGGTGTTAGAGGGTCTAAACCTGCAAGTGCTCTGTGCATAAAACATCCCTTGAAATCAATGGCACTTATTTGAGCAGACTGCTTGCAGTCTATTCCCAAACCTATAGTCAAAGAAATCAAACTGCTCAGGGTAGGCAATGAAATGCATTAAAGGTTCTTGTAAAACATCAAAACACATACCAAGTTTTCTTAAAACAAGGAAAGTTTGCAATTTAAAAATGCCAAAGGAAACCAGTAGGCTTCCCACCCTTTTATGGACTCTATTTAGTGAAAAAGAGTGACAAATAATAGATTCACACAAAGCACTAAAAAGCCAAGGAGCAAATTCAAAAGGGTTGAAGTCAAGGACAAATTAATACAGTGATTGTGACAAACTGGGTTCTGGTTTTGGGCAGCGCATGTTGTCCCCACGTGCTCTGCCCCACTGTTTTTTTGTGCAGGTTTTTTTTAACCCTGGGATCTCCCTGAGTCAATCTCCTTCCTTGCCCACGCTGCTACGTGGCAGTGTAGAGAACACCCAAATGTGCAGTATGTGGCGCTGCAGATGTGTCTGCAGCACCACATACTGCACAGCTGCACTTGTCTGGACATGGCCCATGTTCCCACAAAACTTCTGTTTAAGCCAATGACCCGAGTAGAAGATTCATATACTGGATGAGATGCATTTTTCAACAGAGATGTTCTGATCTAGTGACAGCTTGGCTGGAGATCTAGAGAGCAGAAAATCTCCCAGTTTTCCCACTCCTCACCTATCCCCAGACTATCCATGTTGTTCCCATAAACTTCAGTTCCTTTTCTATGCAACTCCCTGCTGTGCAACTGTACTAGTCCTACCACCAAGGGGCCCTCTATGTTCAGAAAGAAGGGGATTGGATTTGTCAATGAATATTCTCTATAATGTTGTTTTGGAAGTGGTGTAGAGATGAGATTGCATAAAAATGTCAGTATTGCCAACTCATTATTCTCTTACAAGTTTTATGGTAGTTTGGAGTGAAACTCTGGCTCCTCTTAAAGCTCTCATTGACTTCAGTGGAACCAGCATTTAATTCCTCATGTTTTATTTAAGACACCCCCCCCCCATTTCTGAAGACCAATAACCTCCATAACTTCATTTAAAAATTTTCTAAATGTCTAACCCTTATATTTGAATGAAAAAGCTTAATAACTGGACCTGAGTGAACCCTAGAGACTCAAAAAACAGAAATAAATAAAAGATTCTGGACTATATTGTAATTATTTTAAATCTCATGGGTTTTCAGCCACTCCCAGTTTTGCAGATCTGAGACAAGTTCTGAATGTTTGAGTTAGCTACATAGCACAGCATGTACAGTGGGCATGTTTGATAAACTCTTAACTAGAACTTGAGAAGATGCTCAAGAAATGTACCCAAATTACACATAGAAAAAATGGAGATAAAATGTATCTTGTTCTCTTAATAGATACTGTTTGTAATTTACACAAGGTTATCAGTAATCTTCTAAAAGTTATCAATAAGTAATAGTTATACATCCCTGAAGGCCCCAATATATGCCAGTTCAGAAGTATACTCATAGCATTATAGAAAATAAGTTATTGAGGCTTAAGAGGTAATCTAGTCTCTCCTCCTGCCCAAAGGCAGGGCCAACTATACTGAAGCTATATCTGACAGGTATTTGGCTATGCTACTTTTATAAACGTCCAGTGACAGAGGTTCTGCCACATTGTGAGGTAATCTCTTCCAGTGTTTAACTGTCCTTACAGTTATATGCCAGCATATCTTTGTCATTCAGAGATTTCTCTGTCTCTGTGAGTAGGTGTTTGTTCCAGATAAGGAATTAAGATTTTACTTGCCACATTTTTGCTGTATGCAGGAAGATTAATCATACATATTTAGAATGGTTCCTAGCTCTTTCAGAATGATTTTAGTGACAAATCTAGCAGTATCCTGGTTTAATAAGTTTAAAAGTTACCACTCTTGCTTTTTGACTGTTATGAGTACCTTGTTAGTATGAATGTAACAATAATGACTCTGAACCCCAGCAGAAATGGGTGGTGATATGTCCTCTCCTCTTCATCCTTATAAGGAATACCAATCCAGCTATGACAGACAACTCCTAGCCCAGTCCTTGCAATGAGGATACAGAAGGAAAAGTATTTTTCCACCTTCTCCCTTTTCTTGCCTTTATGTAGGATTTAGCATAGTCAAGCCTTAAGATTTTAAATTTAATTAAAACATAGCAGACAGAAAAAATGAGAGCTGTTTTGAAACTTACAAGTCCAGATTCAGACTTTTGTGACTTGGAATCATATCTAATAAAATGAATATATAAAACTTACACCAGAGTGTAAATGTTGCATATATAAAATTGGAGGTGCATTATATGTAATAACACTTATCACTTATATAGCCCTTTCCTTTTCTAGATTTCAAAGCAGTTTACAAAGGCAATTATCATTACTTTCCCTATTTTACACGTAGGGAAAATGAAGCAAGGAGAGAAGAAGGGAATTGCCAGAGGTTTTGCAGTGAGTCAGTGGCAAAGCCAGGAAGGGAAGTGAAATCTCCGGAGCATGAGTGACTGGTGCCTCCTGAATCTGGGGGAGCACTCACAGAAGCCGCCGATGGTGGTCCTCTCAGAGGGG